CTTGAACTCTGGGCCTGGGCACTGTCCCTCAGCTCTTCAGCTCAAGGCTAGCGCTCTACCACTTGAGCCACAGCGCCACTTCTGGCTTTTTTTTCTGTTTGCTTATGTAGTGCTGAGGAATCAAACCCAGGGCCTCAGGCATGCAAGGCAAGTGCTCTACCACTGAGCCACCTTCCCAGCCCATCAGCAAGCCCTTTTTGCATTCATCTACTTTTGTGAGCCAGGGTTCTCTACAGTATCTTTTTCAAATCTCCCTCAAATTCCTTAAACCTTCCTTTCCCCTAAATTCAAATAAAGTTTGCTGGGCGCTGGTGACTCACACCTGTAATCCTAGCTACTCAGGAGGCTGAGATCTGAGAATGAAGGTTCAAAGCCAGTCTAGGGAAAGAAAGTCCATAGACTCATATCCAATTAACCATCTAAAAACCAGAAGTAAACCTGTGCCTCAAAGTGAGCCACAAAAAGTGAACAAAAAAGCTCATGGACAGCACCTAGGCCCTGAGTTCAAGCCCTATGACTAAGAAAAGAAATGTTTTGTTGTTATTGTTGAGGTGGTTTTTTGTTTTGTTTTGTTTTATTCCAGAAGATAGGAAGCAGGAATGAGAGCAAGATCCCAAGTGAAGGGCTTAACTTCTGAGGACAGGAAGGAAGAAGGGAAGTATAAACACTGACAGTTAAAATGTGTAGGTTTAAACTGACCTTTTCTACTTTTACTTTATGTCTAGGAACTATCCTAAATAAGTACTCACTTACCTAATTCCTTTTACTAATTTCATAAAGTAGTAGCCGTCATAACCTTCATTTTATAGATAATGAAGCAGAGTTAAAAGGAGGTTACATATCTTAGCTAAGGACAACAAAGAGAGCTTTTCTAGTTTATACAAGGTCCTGGATTTCATCCCCAATACCTCAAAAAAAAAAAATAGTCTCCAAGGTCAGAGCTATGGGGAAATAAAGCAAGCATATATACTCAAACTCATGGACTTGAAGGAAAGAAGAAAAACCGATGATATGGTAACTGTAAAATTAAGGTGCCATGTGCTGGGGGCATGGTTCAAGTGGTAGAGTTCTAGCTGAGTAAGCAAATCAAGTGAAAATATAAAGCCCTAAGTTTAAGCCCCAGTACCATAAAACAAGAAGACACAATTTATTTTTAAATGTGGTTAGTTAGATACAATGGTGTGACATCTTTTTAGAAATACTTTGATTTCTAACCTAATGAAGAAATTTCTCTGCACTTGCATTATCCTCCTCCTTTCACCTCCTGAGTGGCTGGGATTACATAGTTTTACACTATCATGCTTGGCTGGTTCCCCCCCCCCCCCCCACTCCACCTGGTTTTTGTCTTGTTTTGTTTTCATTTCTAGATCTGCATTGATGGACTAGTGTGATAGAAACTCAATAGCCCTCCACAAAATGACAAATCCAGTTCTCACTTCTTTTTTTTTTTTGGGGGGGGGTCCAGTTGTGAGTCTGAACTCTGGGCCTGGGCACTCCCTCAGCTCTTCAGCTCAAGGCTAGCGCTCTACCACTTGAGCCACAGCGCCACTTCCGGCTTTTTTCTTTTTGCTTATGTGGTGCTGAGGAATGGAACTCAGGGCCTCAGGCATGCAAGGCAAGCGCTCTACCACTGAGCCACCTTCCCAGCCCCAAGCATCAGCTTTTCTAAGTGTTTCTCATGTGCCTAGAATACCCTGTACTGTGGCTGCATATTTGTTTGTATTTTGTAAACATAATTTTTTACTTAGTAAGGTTTCAAACTGTTTTTTTACAATTAAACCATGTGATGTTACTGATGTATCCTAAACTGTTCTCCAGTATCAACTCATCATGTGCTTGCTCCAAAATCAGCTGTCATTGAGTGTTATAACATATACAGTTATAACCTAGATGGGTGGTCTGTAGTCCCAAGCTTAAACGAGCCAGGCATTCCCTGACTCAGCCCCAAGGCACAACAGACAGATAAAAATTGAGACAGTAGTAAAACACTTTAGACTCATTAATTTAGTCCCAAGGATTAAAGCTTTAGGATTTTCTGCCATGAGAACCCAGCAGGCTGGACAGTGGTTGAAGAGACCATTGAGTTAGGTATTGGGAATCCTAGGATTGTCACTTTGCTTTTGAAATTTTTGAATTATTGTTATTTGTATATAAGTGTGAGTACTATTGTAAAGGAAGGTGTTTGGGCTATTTTGAGAATCTGATGAAAACTAGTATTTTCCTCCAAAATAATATACACAACTGGGTGCTGGTGGCTCACGCCTGTAAACCCTAGCAAGAGGCTGAGATCTGCCAGCCCAGGCAGGAAAGTCCTCGAGACCCTTATCTTTATGAACCACCAGAAAACCTGAAGTGGCACTGTGGCTCAAGTGGTAGAATGCTTGCCTTGAGCTGAAGAGCTCAGGAACAGAGCCCAGGCCCAGAGTTCAAGCCCCATGACCAACAAAAAAACAAACACACATTAGAGACAATACACAGAAACTTTCAGGATGTCCAAGTGACTTGCCCTGATGTTGAAAGCTTTTTCTGTCCTATAATTTGGTCCTTTATTATGCCATTTTCATTTTCTTTCATGTGTTTATGTTCTGTCCCAATGAATGGACAGGCTTCTCACAAGGAACATATACTTCTGTATTACCCCCCACTGATACATTCATACATACATACATGTGTGTGTGTGTGTAGGAACCACAGCTTATAGGAAACATTTGCCAATTGAGTCCTTTGAAGCTGCTGTGGATTGCTGAGGACAGACAGTTTTCAGCACTCCATCCTCTATCCTACCTCCTTCCAATACAAAAATAAATAACTTGGATCCTACATTCATGGTCTATTTTCTTTCTTTAACATACAGCTGCAAATATCCACTTCTGGATATTTCGGAAACAAGGCAGTGCCTAAACGAAAGCTTTCTACCAAAAAAAAAAAAAGCATTAACAAATAAATGCACTCTATTATCTTAAGATTTTATGATATAGTCAGCCCTTCGGCACTGTACTTCACCCCCATAACACCTACTCATTTAGATTATTATTATTTAAAGTGCTGGGGATTTAAGCACTTGATTATATCAACTGAACCATATCACATCCCCTGCTCTACGTGGCATCTGTAATCAGGACCCCTATCGAACCTAAGTTTAGTTATTTTTCAAACTGCAAGCATAGGGAATTTAAAAGATGAATAAATCTAATATTAAGGGCCAGCCACTTTGGATCTTAACTTCTTTGAACTTGCAGGCTGTTCCTCCTCCAGTCCCTATCTCTTGACTATAGGCCATTACAGCCATCTTGTGGCCATACAGGGAAAGGACGGATGGATTGTCTCCAGCCTTCTCTGGTGAGAGGAAGAATTTAATTTTATTGGTTGGATCTATGGGAAACAGGAGAAAGCTGTGGGTAAAGATTATGGCACAGGAGCCATATATCCTATCTCTTGACTCCACTTTACCTTCCTGTACACAACAACAACCCACCCACTAATTAGTACAGACAGATGAAATCGTTGATATTTGAGTTCATTCAATCAAATTTTATTGAGCTGCAACTATGTGCCAAGCAGAGGGAATATAGCAGTGAACAAGATATCTATCTTCACAAGCTTACAATCTAGCATCCAGCTGGACAGTAAAATCTGTAAGTTTACAATGGTAATTAGAATACTGAAAAATTCATAGTGCTGAGATATAACAAAGTCTTGGCCTATACCAAGAAATCAGAAAAGGTGGGCTGGGATGTAGCTCAGTGGCAAAGCGCTTGCCTAGCAAAGTGCAACGTCCTGGGTTCGATCCCCAGTACCAAAAAAGAAAAGACAAAAAAAAATAAAGTTAAAAAAAAAGAAATCAGAAAAGGTTTGAGGAAGAAAGAAACATCTAGGATCAGGAAGGTGGAAAGTGGGAGGAAGAATATGGTGATCAGAGTATTTGTGAAGATTCTGAGGAGAGAAAAGAACTCATGATTTGAAAGCCAGCCAGAGTGACTAGGGCAGAAGAAAAGAGAAATATTATAAAATGACATATGCAGGTCTTTGAATTTAGAGTTTTATTCCAAAAACAAATAGAAGCTACTGAAGAATTTGAAACAGAAAAGGAAGAGTTTTATATTTGTTTCCTAGAAGTCATGCTGATAATAGTGTTTGGAGGAAGAAGCAGAAATGGGAGGCCAAGATAGAGTTTCCTTTGCAGTCTAGACAAGTGATAGTTACCTGAAGAAAACAGAACCTACTTGTAAGTGTCTGGGTATGAAAGGAAATGGATATGGTTTTGGCAAGAGGTTCTAAAGTAGAAGATTCTGGAAAAGGGACAAGTTTGGACAGATAGGCACAATGAGCACAACCCAAAGGTACAGGCTCTAAGGCTGGTGGGAGAAGAACAATATAGTTTTGTGGATTTTTTTTTTGTCAGTTCTGGGGCTTGAACTCAGGGTCCAGACACTGTCCCTGAGCTTCTTTTGCTCAAGGCTAGCACTCTACCACCTGAGCCATAGCGCCACTTCCAGCCTTTTCTGTTTATGTGGTACTGAGGAATCGAACCCAGGGCTTCAAACATGCTAGGCATGCACTCTACCACTAAGCCACATTCCCAGCCCAAACAATATAGTTTTGGTTCTCAAATTGTACAGGGTTTAGTTGGACAAACTAGGTACACAGAAAAGTGCAGAGCTTACTAAATATCACATTGTTTCATCCATATAATTAATGAATCCCTAAATTCCATGAGACAAGATAGAAAGCCACAGTGAATTCAGAAACTGCTAAAGCCAATAGGGATATCCCCACCCTTGTCCATACTTCCAATAGTTAAGCCCTCAGAAAACTCCTATGCAGGGCTGGGAAGGTAGCTCAGTGGCAGAAAAAAAAAGCCGGAAGTGGTGCTGTGGCTCAAGTGGTAGTGTGCTAGCCTTGAGCTGAAGAGCTGAGGGCCCAGAGTTCAGCCCCCATGACAGACAAAAAGGAAAAAAAAGGTACATGCTAAATCACAGGCCTTTTTCCCATTCTAGTTTTTCTTCGAGTCAGTAAATATTCAATTCTGTCTCAAAAAAGTCAGCAGAGAAATCTTGCTATGGGATTACCAAGGAAGCAACATGGATAGCTATTGCTTGGCTGCTCCTCAGCCTTTCCTTGCTTCCACTTTGACCCTGAAGTACACTGTTAATTAACTCTTTTCTAACACAATAACTATTGACTACACAATGAGTCTACCGTTTCTCATCTTGCAACAAGCCTATGACAAACCTGCATTCCAAATATTTAGTTTGAGAACAGCAGTTAGGCAGGCTAAAATGCCTCACATTAGATCCAGTCTGTTTACACTGAAATGAACATGGCCTTTGACATTAGAAGGACTTGGATTTTCATCCTGGCTCCTATGATTACTAACTGACGTGCCTCTGTCCTACTGAACCAAGGTTTCAAAAGACCCGAGAAATACTGTTGGTAGTATTGGCCTTAAGGGGTAGTTGTAATAAAGAGAGTACGTAAAACTCCCAGCATATTTAGCCTGAATTATCTGATAACTATTCACTTCCTTTCTTTCCCCTGAACCTCAGCTGCTAAATTCTCCACTAGAAGGAAGATAACCATTTTGTATGGCCAAATAACAATCGTTTCCTACTTCTGTCTTTTGAAATCCTACATTCCTACAGCCATCCCATTTCCTACATTGCCAGAGATGTTCTTCTAGTCCCCATCCTTGTGTATCTCTTTGTTTTTCCATCAAAAATATTTTGCCTGAACTCCTTCTAACTCCTCCTCTACATAGCCCCAATCCAAGATGCTGTCTTCTCATATCATTCCTAAATATGAACTACTTCACTTCTAGGTTCTCCCTAATTTTCACAGAGTGAATCATAAAGGAGCTAGAAAGTACAATCCTTAACACTTCAGAAGGATATGGGGAACCAAAGGCCAGTTCCCAGAGGAGAATGGAGGTCTAGGTCCAGGCACCATAGCCCCCCCACCCCCACTTCTTTTCCTCCTAGGCATAAAAAACGCAAACTCAAAATACATCTTGAGTCTACATGAGCATACATCTGCTTTCCTATAGCTGTGTGAGATCGTCATTGAAGTAGAGCAGTATTGCAGGTGTATGGAGTGTACCATCCATATTAAGGAGATCAAATTCTTCCTCCTCATCCTGGATCCCATTCTCTTCAAGGGTCTGCTCCATGATCAGGGGCTTTCCTTCATATTTCCACGTATAGCTGGCAGCATGTGCATTGTAGGGGAGATAGCGGTGTAGTATTTCCCACATTGACTCCAGAGCCCCCACCTGAAGAACACAGAAGTACCTCACCTCTAGACTTCGGGATGGAACACACACACACACACACACACACGACCAGTAGCTTAAGACATGAGAGCTGGGACCAGAGAGTTTCCTTCTACCTATATAGCAGCTTCACACACTCTACAGTCCCTGAGGTATTAAAGGGTACAATGAAGACAGCCGGGAGCTGTCTCCTCACTTCAGTCTTGTAATGACTAAAGGAGTCCAACTGCTCTCCAAAACGGCACGTAGAAGCTCCCAAGGATCTGACCTGGGCTTATGAAGGGCTCTCTGGCTCTACTAGAATTTCCAACCCTAAGGACCTGGAGTCACTGCTTTCCTCAGTCACTTCACTGTAAAAGGGGAGAAAATACAGCTCCCAGTTGTAGAGAAAAGTTGTTGATTTGCTGTGATTTCAAGTTTCCCCCGTCTAACCCCTCCACAGGCACTAGATCTCACCTCCAGTGTGTGCTCCTGCGACGTGAGCGTGTTAATGATGCGGATGTTTCGGGTCTTAGGGGACAGCTGTCCCACCCGGTAATCAATCCTCTTCCACCAGGGTTTCCCGAAATCATTGGCCCAGTCGGAACGGGGCAGCTGCGGCGGGACGTGCACGAAGCGGCCCCGTGGGGTGCGGTACTTCAGGCAACCCGTCATCGGATCTATGTGCTTTCGGATCTTTAAGGCAGGGTTTGGGAGAAGGGTGTCGGAGCAGTCACTGAGGAAACGCGTTCTGGCTACTGCCCGCATTTCCTACCCACTTCTGCTCTCCGGCGCCCCTTCCCCTAGCCCCGGGTCTAACCAACTTACGTCTTTGGTCTTTGGATCAAACCAGTGGCTGATGTCCTGGCCTGCAACTTCCACGATGGGCTTCAGCAGCAGGTTCCCTGGCAAGGAGCAGCAGCGATCAGTGCCAAGCACCCCCAAACCAGGACACACACAAACACCAGCCGGGGCCCTTACCCTTGTACAGCTCTGCCAGCGGCGTTAGGTTGTACACATAACCCAGGTAAGATACCCAAAGGTCTTCGCACTGGTTATGTTCGGCTACCTCCGCCGGCGTGAAAAAACGACGTTGGAAAGATTCAAAGTTTGGTCCAGCCACTAGGCCCCGGCGCCGCATGGCTCCTCCCGTGCCGATCCTGGCTGCCGCCTCGCTTCCCGACACTCGGCACACTCATTACTACATACTCCCTGCTTGCCAGGACCTGAGCGTTTGCCCGGTGACATGGAAACGATTGTCCCTCTCCGGCCACCGTCCACTCAGATTAAATTTGCCCAGGAGAGGAGGGGCCTTGGGCTGCGTGTAATGACGGGAAATGTAGTCCGATTCCGGCCTGGGGCGCCTAAGTACCGAGTGATGGAGTTCATTCTGGGAGAAAGCGAACACGCTCCGATATAACTCAGGGGCCCAGGCTACGCCGGGTATTTAAGGGCAACTTAACTCCCAAGGCAGAAAGAGTGAGGAAGAGAGTTCCGCTAAGCATGTAGGTTCCCGAAAGGCGAGTAAGCAATTTTAGGTAAACTCGCGATAACTTAAGACATCCGGCGTAATAGGCCTCGGCCGCAACGCTGAAGTAGGAGCTCGCGAGATCTCTGCAGTTGCCGAGGCCACTCGGAGGAGGAGTGATCTCGCGAAAGGAAAGAGAGAGCGCTCGCGAGAACTCAGGCCGCCGGTCCCGAAAGGTTCTTAGTAAGTGTAAGGGCCTCGAGGAGCCCCGAGGGGCCCATGGCTGGAGCTGGCCCGACCATGCTGCTACGAGAGGAGAACGGCTGCTGCAGCCGGCGTCAGAGCAACTCCAGCGCTGGGGTTAGCGCGGGCTGGGGTTCCGGGATCCGGGGGAAGTCGGGCAGCAAGACGGGAGGGCGGAAGGGGCAACTGCAGCTCCCGGCAGCCCTTGGGCTTCGCGTGCGCGCCCCGCGGGCTGTCGGGAGCTGTGGTTCCGCGGGAGGGCGGCCGCCGGTCCGAAGCAACCTGAGAACGTGTCCCGCTCCCCCCACCCCCCCCACCCCCGGCAGGATTCGGACGGGGAGCGTGAGGACTCGCCGGCCGCGCGTGCCCGGCAGCAACTCGAGGCGCTGCTCAACAAGACTATGCGCATTCGCATGACGGATGGGCGGACACTGGTCGGTTGCTTCCTCTGCACGGACCGCGACTGCAATGTCATCCTGGGCTCTGCACAAGAGTTCCTCAAGCCGTCGGGTCAGTGCCCGAGGAATGCACACCCATCTGGGAATGTGCACGCAAGGCATTTAATCCCTTCTGGGCCTGACTGCACTGCACCCCCGTGTTTTCTGGGACTTGTTTTGGTGGGTCAGAAGGGGAGGGGACCGACGCTGACCTGTGTCCCTCATGCTCTGACCCTTCTTTCCAGATTCATTCTCTGCGGGGGAACCCCGTGTGCTAGGCCTGGCCATGGTCCCAGGACACCACATCGTTTCTATTGAGGTGCAAAGGGAAAGCCTGGTGGGGCCTCCATATCTCTGACCCTGATCGTGCATGTCTTTCAGACTTCATTAAATATGTAACTGAAGCAGCCTATCTCTGTGTAGATCTCATGCCAGGGCACCGACAACATCTACATCCGAAGTGAAGACTCTCAACCCTCTTCCCCCCCGGGGCTAGTGCCCAGAAGTGCCAAAGGTGGGGAATGGGGAACAGACTTGTGTTCTAGACTGGTTTGCCCTAGGGTGGACCCCTGCATCTTCCCTCCCACGCAGCAGCTCCTCCAGAGTTGTGGCGGGAGGGGGTGTCATCCTGCTCAGGAAGGCCCATTGTTTCCCACCCCGGCCTGGCAATGCCGAGTTCCTCTAGGTTGAGGTCAGAGAACGGACTTCTGTCCCCTAGGGGAGCTGGGGTGAGTCGAAAAGATTCCTTGCCCGCTATTGATGGGGAGGTGACTTAAGGGTCAGGGGCAGAACTCCGGTCCGACCAGGAAGAACAGACTAATGCGATAAGGGAAGGCCTGGAGGCTGCAGGATGCTCTGGTCTGTGCATTTGCAGTCTTCGGAACTCATTTCCTGCTCCTACACCGGTGGGGGTGATGGTATTTGTGCCACCCTTCTGTTCACAGAATGCATTCAGCTTATAAGTTCTTTATTAATGTATGATCTGTCTGCTCAGCCCCGTAAATACTAGAGCTGCACCAGAAAAGGAGGACACAGGTTCAGTTGTATTCACATTAAGAGAGGAGGAGGAGGAAGGGTGTGCAGGGGCCAGCCCAGATGGTCCAGATTCACTGAGAGAAAAGTAGGTTTTCTGAGGTGTGGGATTTTTCACCAGTACTGGGTCCACAGATGCTGTTGCTTGCCAAAGGGATTCTGAGGACCTGGCTTCGGCAAGGGCGGTGGCAAAAGCAGAACATCTCTGGGTTTCAAGTCCTCAGGCCAACCAGGACCCAGCCGGCAAGGTTCACCCCTCCTCAGACCCAGACCTTTCCTGGTATGGGAAGGACCTGGGACCCTGGTAAAGCCCGGCTCTGCCGCGGCTGTGGGGCGCGCCGGCGCCTATAGAGGGCTCGGCTGTAGGGTACAAGACAGTCGGCCAGGCGGAGGCGCAGGCAGAGGCGGCGGTAGCTGGCCAAGGCAAGCACGAGGAGCGGCACGAGGAGCAGGAATCCAGTGACCAGCAGGGCCGTGAAGCCCGGGTCTCGGAGGTGCGCCGTGCAAGGGGGTGCCTGGGAGCGCAGGAACTGTGGGAGAAGAGACATCAGGCTCAGACCCAGCGGGACCACACTGCAGAGGGCATGGAAACAGCCCAGATGGGGACCAGTTGTGGCCCACAGATCCTATAGCCCCGCACGCCTATCTTGGGGCGCATGCTCACCTGAGAGTGGCAGAGGAAGCCGAAGCCCAGCATGGTGACAGCGGGTAGCAAGATGGTCCCCAGCACTATTACCAGCAGGAGAAGATTGAAGGCAGCCACAAGCAGGTTCTGAGCTGTTACTAGGACGGCGCAAGCCCAGCAGTCCAGGGGATCTCGTGGCTCTGGGCCACCCCCGGGACCAGCTCTCTGCGTCGCGGAGGCGTCGGCCATGGCCCGGCTGACTGTGGGCCGCCCGGGCCACAGCCCTTATAGCCCTCTTTCCTGCCCCTCCCCCCCGGCCCAGCCTCTCCTCCCACCCCCCACCCCCCTTATCCTGGAATGCAGCTCCAGGATTAGGCACCCCCACCCTAAGGAACAGCTCGGAGCCCGGTACATTCCACAGGCGCCTCCCCGAGGGGCTCTGGTTGGGGTCCCAGTGTAGTCCGTCCCGTCAGTCCCGCCCAGAGGCCCTCCCCCCGTACTCGGCCCTGCCATCACCAGCACGTTATCAAAACAGGATTTTTTCTTTTATTTTTTAATATTAATATTCTCACACAAAAAATCACCGGAAATTGGGGTAGGGTTGGGAAGACCCCCCTGCCCCTGGGGCAGAGAGACAGTGCAGCGCGAAGGGGCGGGACCGCAAACCCGCACCCCTCGCAACCCCAGCGGGGAGAAAACAAACGAAGAAAATGAACAGAAAGCCCCCGAGAAACTCGCCCCGGGGTTCCCTGCCCCAGGGAGGCCGAGGCCCGGGGATGTGTTTACGTTTTGGATATTTTTTTTTCCCCTTAAAGCCGGGCAGGAGCCGGGGGAGGGAGGAAATGGGAATGAAAGTCCAAGTTTTTAATATTGGCCGGGGCTGGGGAGGAGGGGGTTTCTTTTTCCTCATAGTTCTTTGTTTTAAACTTTTAATTTTTTTATTTTATTTATTTTGTACAAAATACCATTTCAGTTCCCACTTCTTCCCCTACAGTACAGGAGTCGCTCACCCTCAGGAGGGGTCGGGTCGGGTCGGGAGTCGGGGGACTGGTCTGAGAAAAGTGCAGGACGTGTGGGAGGGGAGCAGGTTTGAGCACCATGAGAGCCTGGCAGGAGCCGCAGGCGGGGGGGGGGGGGGGCGGAGGGGGGGGGAGGCGGTGACTGACGATGGGGGCAGAGCCCAGACACATTGGGGCACGCGAGTCCCCGAGGGGCGGGCGGGATGGCTTGGGAGTGCGGGAGGTCAGGTTTTCCCAAAAAAAAAAAAAAAAAAAAGAATAAATAGAGGTGAGTGGGACTGTTATAAATTAAAAACCAAAAACAAAAAGGAACAAAAAATACAAATCATAACCAAGTGAATAAACATACATGTACAGGGATCACAGCTAGCATTGGAAATTTTAAAAAAAAAGGGGATCTGGGGAGGGGTAAAGCCCATAGAAAGAATCTCATTAAAAACCTCGGCTGCCAGTAAGTCTATGTACACGCGAGCGGGCGGGCGGGCGCGGGGGGCAGGCGAGGGAACCCGTATCGACCCCGCGCCGCCGGAGCCTGGTCCTTGTGTCTCTTGCTAGAAAGGCCAAAGTCGGTGAGGGGAGGCGCTGGTGGGCGAGGGGCTGCCAGCCCCCTCCCCCGTCTCCCTTTTTTTTTTCTTTTTTTTCCTCATATTTGTTTAAAAAAATTCTTAATAAATTAAGTGAGGGGGAGCTGCCAATAAGGTAGAAGGGCCGGGCCCGACCCCCTTCCCTTCCCAGCCAGAGGCGGGACCCAGGTCCAGCCCAGGCGTGTGCTGGTGGCCCCGCGGCGCCCAGTGGGCCGGGCGGGCGGGGCGTCCGGTCTCATCGCGACGTGCTGGCCGGGGCCTGCGGGAGAAAGCGGGCTAGGATCAGTGGCCCCTGGTCTCAGGCAGTGCCACTCCTCTCCCTCCCACTCCCCACGCCCCGGCGGGGCCCTCACCAACGTGAAGGCGTCATAAGCCTGTGCCAGCTCCTCTGTCCGGTACTGCTCCAGCACGACCACGCCCTGCAGGCCCGCGCTGCGCCTCCGCGCGCAGCCCTCGCAGTGCACCAGGTACGTGTTGCGGCTGCCATTCTCACTGGTCACAAACAGGATGTTGAACACCTCCACCTGGTGGGAAGGGAGATGAGGTCACTGAAAGGCTGGGTCGCAGTGGGCACCTCTGGGCAGGGGAGACAGAGCTGGAACTAGAGAACACTCACGTCGCACTCGTTGCAGTAGTAGGCAGGCTCATCCTTGACCCGGCCCTGGTAAGCGATTTTCTTCCCTGCCCGAACGAGGCTCTCTCGCTGCACCTGGCAATGCTTCATGGATTGCAGGAGACAGAACCTGGGAGGGAGGACAGCGTTTTGAGAAAAGCTACCAGCAGGGGCTGGGCCAGAGTGAGGCAGAACCTCTTTTCCAGCTAACACTTCCTGTGTCCACCCCCTTCAATCCCCCCATCGCTCCCTTTTCTTGCTTGGGTTACATTTCCAGTCCTGGGTATCTGTTAAGTTGACATTTCAAGTGTTTTGTTTTTTTCCTATTTAGATCACTGGAAAATAAAAGGCCAGGAGAGAACAAGGATAGTCAGGGAGAACAAGCTAGCGAACACATTAGAGAAGGTGGGCTTCCACCAAACAGAGTCCTCACTTGATCATCTTGAACAAGTCAGGGTCGCTGATTTTGACTGTGCGAGCCACGTTCCAGGACACGTGAATCATGGGCACGATGGATTTGACGTTCTTCACCTCGTTCCACTCGTATCGTTCCAGGGCCAGCTGGTACTGATAGGCTGCAGGCCAGAAGGAGTCACTAGAGGAACCTCAAACAGCCCCGGCCCTTTTCCTCATGCCTTATCATTCTCCCAGCCCACCTCACCCCTGCCCCTAGGGATCAACCCCACCACTCACTGCACAGGGCCCTAGCGCCACCCTCTCACCGGTGAGAGGCCCAACGTTCCAAGCAATGTTGTTGCACCAGCCAGTGGCCTGCACCCAGTGCACAGTCCCCGCATTAATCCACACCAGATCTCCAGGGCGCTGCACAAAGCGGTACACAGGAATATTGGAAGCGTAGAGGTCATCCAGTATTGGCCACCAGGAACCAGTCAAGTAGTCCACGCCATGCCTGTAGGGTGGGCAGTCATAGTAGGGTCAGGTAGGAACCTTGGGAACCAGGAACGTGACACAGTGAGGTGGCTAGTGAGAGGGTTATCTGTACCGATCGCAGAAGGCGCTGATGGTCTCCCAATAGTGCTCGTGCACAGCAAACCATTCGCAGTCACCAGGACCAATATTGATGTTGACAGAGCAGAAGTTGTTGTTCTCTTGGTGGCCTGCAGAGGGAGACAGATAACCTCATGGCAGGCCTGAATTTTTGCTCTATGACAATGCTGTCCTTTGCCCCTCCTCACACCCACCCATCCCCACAGGGTGTGCAGGCTCAAGAGCATACCTGGTGTTCTGCTGCCAGGGACCTTCATGTAGAGCTGGACAGTGTTCATGCCCAGAATAGTGTGGCCCACATGGCTGAGCATGTTGCCAGTGGACGTTACCCGCATGAAGGCAGGCAGTTTTAGCAGCTCCTGTAGTTGGGGCTTCCATCTGGAGGACAGACAACCGAAGTTAGAGGGTACCCTGACTGAATGTCCAGCTAAGTTCCTGTCCTCACTCTGCTGCCCCAGCCCCACTGACCGCTTGGCATCAGACAGGTCGATGTTGGTGCCAAACTTGATGATATGATGATTCTTTGGGTCTGGCGCACTGCTGCTAAAGTAAAAGTGGACAGGTGGGTAGAGCGCACAGGGAAGAAAGGAGCAAGAAGGGATACGATTGTATTGTACAGTACCTAGGAGGAGTTCCTGTGGTGCTGTCTGGCTCCTCTGACTCCTCATCTTCACTCTCCTTCTCCTCCTGCTCAGAGGGGTTAGGCAGGCCTAAGTCAGTGACTTCCAGGAGCCTTTCCTGCAACTGGATCCTAACAACCACCTCCACCCACAGTTGCCCCTCACCTGCAGTGACTCCTGGAAGGATGAAGCCTGGTACTGTGCATACTTGGCAATGGTGGTATGGGAACGGGAGCTCTCACAGGGCCAGATCTGTCGTGTGCCAGTCAAGTCCCAGTTCTCATCCGAGGGCTGTTGCACCTGGGTGCGCACCTCCACGGTGTGTTCCCCACTCGCCTCCACCAGCGTCTTGGTGGAGAAGAGGCCCAGGTCTGCAATGGAGGACCAGAAAGAGGGTTGGGGAAAAGGCCAGGGATGTGGAGCCAAACTGACCATTTCCCTTGGCTTGGCAGAACTCCTCCCAGGCAAATGGGCAAGAAGCACAGCCCCATGTGAGGAGGGAGGGCAGACGCTCTCTAGGTTCTCCCCAGCCACTCTAGGCCCCAGCCCTTCCATCAGGCCTCAGGCCTGATGGCCATAGACACACAGCAGGAGGAACTCAGTGAATATTGACACCTTTAAATTACCGTTGGATCCAGTTAGAGATACAGTCAAACCAAGACTGGAATGTGCTTCAAGTCACTCGGGAAAGAAGCATAGATGGGTGTAAAGGGAACAAGACTGATTTTCATATTTTTACATAGTTTCCTACAGATTTGGACTGTTTGAAGTTTTACAAAATGCAAGGTTGAAAAAGAGAAAGGCCCAATCTGTGGGCCTTGGAGACGATCCACAAATTGTATTATTTTCATCCTTAATCACCAAACAAGAAATGACTGTAGGGCTGGGAAGGTGGTTTAGTGGTAGAGTGCTTGCCTCGCATACAGGAGGTCCTAGGTTCGATTCCTCAGCACCACATAAACAGAAAAACTAGAAGTGGTGCTGTGGCTCAAGTAGTAGAGTGCTAGCCTTGAGCTGAAGAGCTGAGGGACAGTGCCCAGGCCCAGAGTTCAAGCTCCACAACGGACAAAAAAAAAAAAAAGAGAGAGAGAGAAGAAATGACTCAGCCAGGCACCGGTAGCTCACACCTATAATCCTAGCTACTCAGGAGGCTGAGATCTGAGGATGGAGGTGCAAAGCCAACCCGGGCAGGAAAGTCCGTGAAACTCTTATCTCCAATAAACCACTAGCAAAACCAGAAGTGGCACTGTAGCTCAAGTGGTAGAGCACTCACCTTGAGCTGAAGAGCTGAGGGACAGTGCTCAGGCCCAGAGTTCAAACCCCACAACCAAAAAAAAAAAAAAAAAGAAGACTCTAACCAGGCCCTGAAATACATCTCTTTCCCATTTGCCCACTGCCAGGGACA